GAAAATGCATCGCACGAGCAATCGCGAAAGTAACTGTATTTTCGAATATCGCGATATCGCGGATATCTATTAAGAATATTAGTACGCCTGTTCGCTAGAATACAAAATGACAATCATACTAAAAGGCGAGCGTGCAGTATTTGCTACTCAAGGTACGGAAAATGCATAACCGCCAACTTGAGAAAGGGACGCGCAGTGATGCCGCGTCGATCTTGTCGCGTGAAGTTGACCGCGCGGGAAACGAAGGAACGAAGCGCCCGCGCCTTCGCCATCTTGATTACGTTCTCCTCTCGTTTTCAGAACGCGGCGGACACGGAACGGGACGGATCGACTCCGGAGCGAGTGGCGCGTCGCAACTTATATAATTGGTAAGTTTAACATGTATTCACTTCGCATTTAATTTATTTAGCGGTATCTATCGCGTAATACAGATTCAGCGCTCGGGGATTGATATTTTGTAAAAAATACGTATTTCACAGTACATGTTCGGTCAAAGATACATCGCACGGGCAATCACGAAAGTACGACTGTATATTTTCGGATGTCGCGAATGTCGCGGATTTCTATCAAGAATATTATTAATACGCCTATTCGCTATATAGCGGCTAGAATACAAAATGACAATCGTGTCAATCGTACTAAAAGGCAAGCCGGGCAAGCGTATACGTATGTGCTACTTGAAAGTACGAAAAATACATAACCGCGAAATTGAGAACGGGTCGTGTAGTGCCGTCGCGTTTATCTTGACGCGTAAAATTGACCGCGTGGGAGATGACGCCGACGCCGACGCCGACGCCGACGCCAACGCACCCTCGCCGTCTTGATTACGTTCTCCTCTCGTTTTCAGAACGCGGCGGACACAGGACGGGACGGATCGACTCCGGAGCGAGTGGCGCGTCGCAACTTATTTAATTGGTAAGTATAACATGTATTCACTTCGCATTTAATTTATTTAACGGTATCTATCGCGTAATACAGATTCAGCTCTCGGGGATTGATATTTTGTAAAAAATACGTATTTCACAGTTACATGTTCGGTCAAAGATACATCGCACGAGCAATCATATTTAATAATAAATAAATGAATATTTAATTGAATAATAAATAAAAAATTCGATGCGCGTAAAAATTATTTAATCGAATCGTTTATTTATGTTTCAGAAAATAACGACGTGGAAAGTTGCATCGTCGCATCGAGGGAATCCAACCTGACAGCCAGAGAGAACAACCTGAGAGGAAGACGGAGGCCTGGGAGAGGTATCGGGCATCAGCGGAACAACTTTGCGGTAAATATCATTTTTTGTGTGTAAAAATAATTTTTTTTCCTGTTTATTCTTTAGTCGTTTTATTTTACTGTAATTTAGAAATAATAGAAGAAAAAACTAATTTAAAATTTTATATTAATGTTATTCTTGTGATTTTTTCGGAAAATTGATAATTATTTAAATTATTATCTAATTGAATAATGAATGAAAAGTTTGATGTGCATAAGAACTATGTTTTGAAAGAAACACTGTTTTAATATGAATTTTATATTTGTATGTTACAGAATCAACGTAGCTACGATGCAGTTACAACTCCGCTGCTGCGAAACAGGTTCGGTGAGTGATAAAATTCTTTATTGAGGTGACAGATGCAACTTATTAAATATATGGATATATATTTATTTATTTAAAATAATGTCAATATTTGAAGTGTACTAATTTAATATTATATTGCATGCATTTCTTGGAACACCGTACAATTATCTCACTAAATAAAGGTCATTACTATCCTTATAGTAAAACGCTAACACATTTATATTTTATACGAAAATATGAAAGTACACATGCGCTTATTCTCATGAATATGTATTTAAAGGATCGAGAAACAGATTGTTTCTCTTACGAAGAAATGAAATAAATTATATAAAATTAAATATATCACAAAAATTTAATTATTATTATTCTATGGCCCCATTGAGTCTTTATTCAGTTGTTCCCTCAAACCTTGTCAACGCTACTTTGTCGACGGCGCGCTTTACCGGCACAACGTCGGCGACGTTATCCCGGCGCGATAGTTCGACGTCAGTCGGCAGTGACGATTGTTTACACCATGGCGTCTGGCGGTGGTACGTGTCTACTTATTTTCTATTTCCGCGTAACCATGGGCCGGTCCGGTCATCGGTCTCGGCCAGGCCCAGCGTTCGAATTCACGCTTTAATAATAACGGTCGTTCACTGTTTGTTTCTTTTTTGATTTGATGACAGAAAACGCGACCGAGGAACGGACGGAAGCGTCAACGCCGGCTCAACCCGTTGCCAATGCCGTATCCGAGACAACCCATGTAAGTGAGCACATAACCTACAGACCGTTGCAATTGCTGGTTCGCACAATCGGTGATATTTCATTGAAGTCGTCGCTAAGCGTATCTGTCGCGACAACAAACGCGATACGTTCGAAACTCTACGCGTTTACGGTGCAAAAGTTAGGTTAGGGACTGGCTAGCGCGGTTGCACAGAGCGTCCTCATTGTCAAGGGTGCGTTCAGCCGATACTCTGCTAGCCTAGCAATCGTGAGCAGTCGCTCGTTTTCGCTCGTTTCCTCTCCTTTGACCCAATGGATTAAAAGGAGAGGAAACGAGCGAAAACGAGCGACTGCTCACGATTGCTAGGCTAGCGGAATATCGGCTGAACGCACCCATTTATCACCTGATGTTCGCTTTCGCCAGCTGATAACAATCCTTGCGCTGAAACAATAACACTCTTGCAAAGCATTGTAGAGCATGCGTTTCTAATTTAAGAATCATGTGTACAGTTTGTAAAGGATATATACACAGACAATACTGTAGGTCTTTAGTTATAAGGTTAGGTGCTTTTGGGACTATTGTTGGCCCAGTATTACTTATACTAATATTATTAGACTATAGTATTATTTATACTAATGTATAAACTCTGTATTTCTTTTGGTTGCAGAAAGTAATAGGGATGGATAAGGATGGCGATCTCTCCGGCATACCAGCAAAGAAACCTCGTGTCGAAGTACAATCTCTTCCAACCAGACAATATTTAGACCAGACAGTAGTGCCGATATTGCTGCAAGCTTTGTCCTGTCTGGCCAAAGAAAGGCCTGCCGACCCCATAAATTTCCTAGCCGGTTATTTATTGAGAAATAAGAATCAGTACGACAGTGGTGGCTCGCCGCCGACTAGTCAATGAATGCTTCCATGTCTGCGCATCCATTTTATGGAACATTTCGTAAGAAATCTGTTTCTGGATCCTTTAAATGTTTAAATACATATTTATGATAAACACGTGTACTTTTGTATTTTCGTATAAAATAAAAATGTGTTAGCTTTTTACTGTAGGGACGGTAGTGACCTTTTAGTGAGATAATGTGGTGTTCTAAAAAATGCAATATTAAATTAGTTCACTTTAAATATTGACATTATTTTAAATATTGACATGATAATATTATCGTTTTCTCTGATCGAGCAAATGTTAAAAATATCTTAATTATGATAATTGTTTTCAAATTGAAATTGTTTCCTAAAATCTGTTAGAATGTGTTAATTTTTCTATGCAAACGTTTAAATAAAAAAAAATGAAATAAAGTAATATGTAGTAACAGCTTAACAAGTAATAACAACTTTTCTAAGAGTGTATCGCAAAAATTTCTAAAATGCCCAAGGAAGAATATTGATTTCTTTTGTTCAATTCTTTGAAAATTCGTGACACAAGAGTGTACGAGATAAAGGACAGAGAAAAGGATCGCTACCATTGGTCCAATAAATCGTAATGAACCCTCTGCGCTCGCGTCGATTTTAATTGGAACGGCGATTTAATTGGAGGCAATTAAATGTAATCGCGCAATGAATCGGGGTTAAATTTATCTCGCGCTCCAATAACATCGATAATTTACGTCAGACGTGCAACGCTCGCGAGCTGTGCTATTGCGAGGAGAAAGCGGGAAGGAAAAGAGAACCGCCTCGAGGGCGTTACGTTTTATTATTCTTCGCGTCTTATTTCGTCCTCTCGTTGCGATTTTCGTCCCGACGAAAACTCGTCGGTCGGTCTCATCGTCTGGGTAATTGGACTCCCTTCGGGGTCGTCGGCGAGGCACGAGGAAAAGAAAATCCATATAGCGACATCCGATTGTACCGCTCGGGCTTTAAATGACGACGCGAGAAGATATCGGGGTAATTTCGTGGCCGACAATTCGCACGGCGACATCATCGGACCTGGTCCAATTAACGGCAAAGGATCCTCTTGCCCGAGTTCCCCTCGTATATCCTCTCGTGGAATCCTCGATCCTTACCCACACGTACGTTGATCGTCGACTCTTAGTCCTTTGTTTCGTACTCGTTTACTTGGAAGACGCGATGTGTTTTTGTAGTGATAAGATAAACACACTAAGTACTTGAGCTTCTCGTACAAGGTATTTTACCATATTAGCAATTTACTTGTCTCAGGGACGTTAGAGGGTCATCCAGGGATTTCGTGAAAAACGGGAAAAGTTCGAGGAATGTAACGAAACACGAAAAAAGAGTGACATTTTGAAAGAACTTCTTTTTCTGTTCGTGGCGAGAAAAGATAAAGCTCCTCTTTCACGTTTATTATCCGTTACTTATGTAATGACTTGAGAAAACCAGCATTGATCTCTAATAATTCTGATTCACGTGTAATTCCATATGTGCAATGACTACATGAATTGAAGCATTTTTTGGCGTTGGAATGCCGTAGGGATCGGTCTGAATTTCATCGGATAAGTGAAGGACTAGTACATTTTAGTGTTTCGTGTGATTGCACAATGTGCGAGCGCATCGTCGAGCAACGCAGTTTGTAATATTGGTTCTGTTTCTGTATATTCAGAGTGAAATTCTACGTTCGCCGTTCATTCCCGCAACGAATTGCGAATAAACGCGCAAAAGCGGAAAGTCCACACTCGCAGCACAATGCGGAGGTTCGACACGACTGTCGATGACGCAGTAACATCCACCTTTTTTCACTTCCTTACGCGCGAGAAGCTCACAATAGTTGTTTTCCCCCGTCGAGTTGATATCTCCTCTCCACTCTCCACATTCCTGTTCGCTATGCTTTCCCAGTTTTAGAACTATGTAAGTAGTTTTATGCAATGCTAGAACATGAATGCACGGAAAGTATCTCAAAAGCGGTTTTTTTTTTCATGTAAATGATATGATGCGGGTTTGTATAAAATTTTGTCTTAAAAAATAGATCAGGTTTAAACAGAATAATACTTGAAATTTATGTATAGGTATATACTATGAATTTGATGGTTTTATTTTAAAAAATCCTATTGCATTCTCAATGTTTTTACATATTTATCAATTTATGCTATCTTTAAAAGCATTTTTTGCAAGTTATCTTCTTGATTGACAATGATATCCAGTGTGCAGAAAACGCGTATTTAAATAGAGACAGTATATATTTCATGGATAGCGAGCGGTGTAATTTTCGCGAGTCCGGCGTTACGGGCACACAGACACGTAATGAAACCCGACGACTGACGCATGATTACATTTTTACATATACCTATCTACGTTGTACAGCATCGAATTCCGCGTCTACATCGAGAATGAACTCGCCCGAAATTGTACCGATTTCAATACTCGCTCTGTACACCGGCCGAAATTCTAGATTCTAGATAGATATACCTTCCCTCCGCTGCTCTATTATATATCTGCGCTATGCGGATCGCACTCGATACGCGTGCAGTAATCACGTCGAGCGGCAGGTCAGCAGACTTGGAAATTGTGCTAACAGTGACCGTGACCACATCATATGTCGAACGTGCGATCCGAAAGATCGGCGGACCGAGGGATACATCCCGGGCCGCGTGTCCTTTCCGGGCCCCCTTATCGCGGCTCACTCCCTCATTGCGCGCATATGCGCGATATGCGTAAACGTAGTAGACGCGTGTGCTGCACGTGTGTACACCCAAACAACCTACGGATAATCGAGGGCCGTGGCTAATGGGCGAACCGTGTCACGGTTTTCGTCGGGGCGTGCAGGTTCGGCCTGCCGGTTCGCGCCTGCACGCCCGCACTCGCGGGGAGGACTCGGTCCAATTGGCACGCATATTGGAATTCTATTACCGGGATTACGGCCGGTAATTGCTCGGTTTAGCGCAATATCGCACGGCCGTCTGTGCGCGCCGTCGAGCCGCGTCGCGACGCTCCGGCAGGCCGACGGCGATCGTCCAGCGCGTGGATTAGCCGCGCGCCTAATCGCCGCTCGCGCGTGCGTTCCCTCATTACGACCGGCGACTGTAATTAGTGGTGGACACCAAAAATGTTAATCTCCTGCTGTATTACATTATCTTCAAACGGTGCAGAATAATTATATAATAAACCGCGCCTTTTTCTTCTACCGAGATGTTACTAATTTTAACAGCCGTTACCAAACAGACGTAATTGTTACAGATAAATGACATTCATAAATTTTTTATCTTAATAAGTATCTTAACTGTAATATTTATCTTAACTGTTGCTACGATCATTTGCAAGGTGCTATTCTCGCGAGGAACATTCTTCAGATTTCAGATTCGCTTTCATAGGAAGGATTATCTAATGAGTTAACAACGCTAGCGTAAACATAGCTGTCTGTTTATTTGCTTCTCTGGCCGTTCGATTTCGATTTGCATTTGAGATACGTAGCTCGAGAGCTCAGCAAGTCGAGCTGTTTGTGATGTACAACATCCTTTGTAGGGCTCAATTAGGAAGTCGCGACTACTAAGACGGAGCGGTTTTGGCAAGTAAAAGCTAAGGTTGATTAATTAATGCAGTGGAATAGTGCAAATAATTAAATAATGCAGGTCCCTGGATATATTCGCGTGTAGAAGTTAAAGGACCGCAATATTCGCGATTAGGATATATTGATGGGAATTACGTACATAATTTCCACTCCTTTAGAAATGGAATTTAGTTCAGGCTTTTTAAAATGTGTAGTCATTTCGATTGAAATATATATCTCATACAATTGTATATTATTAAATGAATTTTATAAAAAGGATTTTATGTATATCTTAACGATCTAATTGTTAGGAAGATACAAAAGGTAGAATTTAAATACTGTTGATAATATATAGTTATGTAAAATATTTTTTCTTTATTTTTTTTTATTAATACGGATTTGATTAACATCAAACAACAAAAAATATATATAATGTACAGTGCAATGATAAATATTTTTTTAGGAATATATGTTTGACATAATATTTTACAAGCCTACGGTTTACATCTCTGTTTTTCTCCGATATTATACGATAGAAATCACAGATTTATAGAACGATTTTTTTGAAAGTCAGTGAATGACAAAGGCGGCGATGGACGAAATCGCTGACGTTTTCGATCAGCCAGAATAAGAATACAAGTCTTAGGAAACGCGGTGGTATTTTTAGAGATTTTCTTCACCGATGCGGCACGGGATTATATAAAATGTTTCTACATAACCGAGAACTCCGCCGCGGCTCTCTGCTTCGGCGGGGTGTCGGGGGAAAAGCGCTTACCCGGCAGATTCGCGAGCTGGCTAAAGCCCTCCTTTCTCTCGTATTTTTTTGTCGCTTGAGTTTTATCTGATAACGGCAAAAATATTTTTCGGCCTCAACCGCGGAAGGTGATACACGATCTTTTGTTGTCACAGCAGAAAACCGAAGCAATAAATATCGATATGAATTCGTGTCTCTACATTTTTACGATTAACTGCGTTTCGGATCTCCAATCCCCAACTATCGCGCGTGAAAGTCTGCGTTAAGATGTAAGAATTTATAAAATATTGAAATTCAGATCTTTTTTGTTCATCATTAGGTAAAGTAAATTCCTAACGTTATTTTCGCAATACGAGGAACGTTGATTTGGATCATTGCGTTCAAATTGTAATCTCGTTATCTCAATATTGGATTGTAAATAATCCAATAATCGCATAATACAGATGTTTTGAATAATTACTGGGTTTCCGCATCGAAGTGTTCGAATATTTGATTTTCAGAATAGAATTGCACTATCGCGCCCGAATATTTGACTGTCCAAATTACTTCGAAATTCGGATTCGTTTTACAGACTACGCGTTTTACCTTTGCGGACACAGAAACTTCTGTTCCCTTTGATTCGTCGTAACGTACCGCGGGAGATAATCATGGGAAAGCGCGAGTCGGCGCTTTTGAACGGGTTAATTCGCGAAGTGGCATTATTTCCGGCGAGATAGCCACGCCGGGTAGGGTCACTTCGTTATCGGGTAACGCGCGCAGTCAACAACGGCGACCTCCGCCGCGGCGCAACGCTGGCAACTTAAATATTTGTCGGAGATTATATTCATATCCCGGGGTTCGCGAGACGACTTTTTAATCAGCTTGTCGGCGTTCTTGCCCGCGTTTCCCCCTCGCCTTTCGTTCCGCCGAATTATCCCGCGGGCCCGCCGCAGATTTTCATTTCAGATTTGGCTGCGGTACTCCCTGCGCGGACTCTGCGGGGAGAGAAAATAGAAGTCCGCTCCCTCATCCTCCCCCTTTCCATTCTTCTTTCTCTCTCTTTTGATTTCAATCTGTTTGACGAGCTACCCTCTCGTAC